AAAAAAAAAAAAAAAAAATTCATATGATTCAAAATGGGCAAAAGCAAAACACTAGCTTCCCCTCAAGAAGAAAAATTTTAGACCTATGAAAAGCACAACAATACTAATAAAAATAATTGTATTTACTTAGAAGCATTCAGAATGTCAACTAAACAGCTGCAACTTTTTTTTTTTTTTTTTGCAATTACAGAGTGGTATTCAGTTAACAGAACAATTATTTCGCATGAGCTGCGTCAGAGACAACCGAAGATGAAAAAACTACCATCCCCATATATAACTAATTTGTGCTGTGCACCAACAAGAACCTGCTTTAAATTTCCATGCCAATGTACAACCCCCATAATGTACCAGGCAAGGTTAGTGGCTATTGAAAATACCACCAGGACAGGGCTATCTAAAGACACATTTGGTAGTGTGTTAACTATACAAAAAAAGACACTGTACAGTTTAAAAACAAACCTTACACAGCCTTACGTTTCAATTTTTTTCTTTAAAAGGGGTGAGTTGTGTACAGGGGGGTTAAATGCTTTATAGACAAGAAAGAAACTGCGCTAGAACCAACTTATTCATCATCATCATCTTCTTCATCTTCATCTTCTTCACCTTCTCCTCCTCCTCATCCTCTTCATCTTCCTAATCTTCCTCCTCTTCCTTCTTTTTCTTGCTTTTTTCAGCCTTGACAACTCTCTATTTTGCTGCATCAGGCTTTCCTTTAGCTCGATATGCAGCAATATCCTTTTCGTATTTTTCCTTCAGCTTTGCAGCCTTCTTTTCATAAGACTGCTTGTCATCTGCAGCAGTGTTATTCCACATCTCTCCCAGAGTCTTTGCAACATCACCAATGGACAGGCCAGGATGTTCTCCTTTGATTTTTGGGCAATACTCAGAGCAGAACAGGAAGAAGGCTGAAGGAGGCCTCTTAGGTGCATTGGGATCCTTGAACTTCTGTTTTGTCTCCCCTTTGGGAGGGATATAGGTTTTCATTTCTCTTTCATAACGGGCCTTGTCCACCTTTGCCATATCTTCAAATTTTCCTTTCTCTTTAGCAGATATGGTCTTCCACCTCTCTGAGCACTTAGAAAACTCTGAGAAGTTGACTGAAGCATCTGGGTGCTGCTTCTTATGCTCTTCCCGACAAGTTTGCACAAAAAATGCCTATGATGACATTTTGCCTCTCAGCTTCTTAGGATCTCCTTTGCCCATGTTTAGTTATTTTTCCTCAGCTAGGCACAGAGTCGCCCAGTGCCCATCCGACTCTCACTTGCCCCGGCACTGTCTCTATGGAGCTCAATGTACTGCAATCTTATTTGCCATTTTTTAAATTGGATTACTGGCTTCAGGGTGGAGCCCTTGGATGAACAGGGCCAGGTAGCATGCATTAAGAGTGGTAAGACAAAAAAAATGGAGAAAAGTAATTCCGTTGACTGAGAAGAAAAGAGTTTTCCCAGAAAAACAAGATCCAATTAGAGAAAAACATAAAGACCTTTAAAATATACTTATAACTTGAATATCCACTTTTAATTAAGCTGAGCATGCTTTAAGAAAATCCTTTGAAATCCTTTGTTACTCGACTTTAGCCATGCCAAGCACTTAAGATTTTTGGCTTTTGAACTTTACAAAAAATAACATCACGGGTGAAACCGACAAGACTTAATTAGGTTATGACTTAATCACGAGCATACAAGGCATTTTCAAAGGGGTGATAGGCAGCTTTTGAAACTGTCATTGCAAAATTTTGACAGAGACAGTGAAAGAGATCTGCCCCAAACAACTCCATTTCGTTTTCAGCCCCCAAGCTGTCCTTGCCCATCCCTGGGCGTAGGCTGAACCAACTTTGGGAGAAGCCTGGTTTACAGTTTATAGTCTAAAACAAAGATAATAAGAGCCCTTTTTTAAGATATATTCCCCTCTTTCCTGGGGACCAGACTAAGAAACTAAACTAGTCATAGAATTAGAAACCATGGCTTAGGAGTCATGCAGTTGGAGACTACAAGATTTTGACCCTCCCTAAACTGCTCTCAAGATCAGTGCTTAAGATATTTTGTAAGCCCTGCCCTTGATAGATTAGCTGGCACCACCCAGATTGACAAACTGGCTTATCTGATTTTGTGGAACTGACTTAGCACAAGAAAACGGCCACCATTGTAAAATGGCGGAGACTGAAAGAAAGCATTGCCACGTGGTTGCAGGTCATGTTCCCAAGGACATGAAATAAGATGGAGACCTGTAACCAAGTTTGTTACTGACCGTTTTGTTGGGCTGGCTCAAACAGCAGGCTTATGGGGTCCTGGTCCTGCATCGTAACCTAAGATACCCTTTTTTTTTTTTTGACAAAACCATACAGAAAGACCTTCAAAGCACACCAGATTGTCTACAGCTTAGGACCAACTTTACAAATCCTTTTCCATTGATTATAAATTTACAGAGAATAGAAACAATGATTCTTTTATCCCTTTTACTGGTTTGCACAGGGAGAGAGTAGCCAAAAGCCCAACTGGTAAGAAATTTTTACCTTTTGCCAGTATGTCAGGCTTCTGGGCTCCCTTTCCCCTTGTTCATCTCTAAGCCAAGCATTTTAAGGTTTGGAAAATTAACTTTTTCTAGGTTGGAAGAACATTATAAAAGAGAAAAAAGTCATTTTAAACCATAAAAGAAGGAAAAACACCATAGAAAGGAGTTCCAATTAGGGTTGTTAAGAGGTATTACCTCTCTTCCTATTGGGAATAGTGTTTCCCTTATTTTTTTGCCCTCCCTATTTTCTCTTTTCCCTTTTGGCCTACTATAGGAGACACATTGCTCATCTCCAAAATTATTTTCTGCTTGCAGAGCTGCCTGTTTTAGCTGCAGTTAGGGTTTGGCTTAGGAGCAGTGTAACATTCCTCCATGAGAGGTCAAATACCAGAGTTAAATTTTAGAAAACTTCTATATACCTATCAGGGTTGTCAGAAAATCAGCCTAAGTCTCCCTTTACTTGCCTAGGATTCTGCAATAAGAAGGGAACTTGAAGGGGCCCTAAATAAGGGAATCCTCAGATGGTTCCCCTGGGAACTTGCTTCTCTAATTTGGGGGAATTATTTTCCCTGGACCTGCCTGATATGATTACTAAAAGAGCTGGGTTGATTTTACAGTGCTTGAAAAGATTTAGTAGAAATGCCATGCCCTTGTGCGAAAAAGAAAAAAAAAAGAGCTTTTTCTTTAAAGTTCTGAGGTTAAGGAAGTTCCAGTGTTTCAGAGTGCACTCCAGAGGGGTGTAAGCTGAAGATAATTTATTACCCATTGTGGAAAAGTAAAAAGTTCCTCTTCAAAGTTTCCCTTCTTATTCAAGAATAAATAATAAATGTTAAAAATAATCTTTCTTTCTTTCTTTCTCTCTCTTTCTTTCTTTCTTTCTTTCTTTCTTTCTTTTCTTTTCTTTTCTTTTCTTTTCTTTTCTTTCTTTTTTTTCTTTTTTGAGATGGAGTCTCACTCTATCACCCAGGCTGGAGTGCAGTGGTTTGATCTCAGCTCACTTCCACCTCTGTCACCCAGGTTCAAGCAATTCTCCTGCCTCAGCCTCCCAAGTATATGGGATTACAGGCACCTGGCACTGCGCCCAGGTAATTTTTGTATTTTTAGTAGAGATGGGGTTTCACCATCTTGGCCAGGCTGGTCTTGAACTCCTGACCTCGTGATCCACCCGCCTGGGCCTCCCAAAGTGCTGGCATGAGCCACCACACCCAGCAAAAATAATCATTTTCTTTAAAGACTAACTTCCTTCAAGCCTCCTTGCCTTCGTGCTAATAACTCTTTGTTAAGCTTTATCCTATGTAACTGTTCGATATAAGGGAATAAGCACATTCTAAGTCCTTGTACTTTAACAAAGATATTTGTTCTGGACATGCTCAGGCATATCCCAGCTCGCAGCCTATGCCCCTTCCTTATTTGGAAATGTTATTACTTTTCTAAATCCTTTCTCAAGCAACTTCCTCTTTTCCTTTTGTTCTCCATTGCCTTTACCTATTTAGGAAAGTTTTAAGTTGTTAGCCAATCGAGTTTGGCTTAGACTGTGAGGTCCAGCTCCAATCAATGGAAATAGGATGCAGCAGTAACGACCCAATGCATAAGGGATAAATATTCCTGCCTTTCTTTGTTCATTGTGCTCTTGTGACAAGATTGGTGATGAGCAACACCCTTTCTGCAGAAAGTAAAATTGCCTTGCTGAGAAAACTTTTTGTCTGAATCCTGATTTTTCCTTGAGGCACTGAGAAACAAGCATTTTGTTTCTAACACCCATTTAGGAAAAGAAGCAAGAATAGAAGCGTCCTCTTAGTCTCCTTTCTGTATGAGCCAGAGTGGAGAAGACAGGGAGCATCCTCCAAATGTCTCCCCTCCCTGGTTTCTGGATCCTGACACCATGTTAAATATGCCCCCCATGGTTGTAGGCATGGCCCTCCAAGCCATGGAACCGGATGAGCTAAGTGATGGGGCTAACCACGCTTACCCATGCAGCCTTAGTTTATCCACCTTGTGTGATTTCCCTTTGACTTACTAGAACCTGTGTGATTTGCCTGGCTGTCTGAAAAGTGGATCTCCGGAGAGACTGTGTCACTTTTGGGCAAGGCTCCTTTAGTGGAGGCAATGTGCTAGATTGCCTGCTATTACAGCCCATGCTAAAGCACTTACCCTTAAAAAAAAAGGTTCCGGTTAACTTCTGAATTTAAAATTACCTTACTAATTAAGTACTGTTTTAATCAGAGACATAGTAGGTGCCTTAAAAGAACGTAGGAACCGAATGGCCATTTTTCTACTGATGGGACAATAGTGGGAATAAAATCTGGCTGCGGAAGACTTTTTTTTTTTTTTTTTGAGACAGAGTCTTGCTCTGTCGCCTGGGCTGGAGTGCAGTGGCGTGTTCTTGGCTCACAGCAAGCACCACCTCCCGGGTTCACACCATTCTCCTGCCTCAGCCTCCCAAGTAGCTGGGACTACAGGTGCCCTCCACCGTGCCCAGCTAAGTTTTTTGTATTTTTAATAGAGACGGGGTTTCACCGTGTTAGCCAGGATGGTCTCGATCTCCTGACCTCGTGATCTGCCTGCCTCATCCTCCCAAAGTGCTGGGATTACAGGCGTGAGCCACCGCGCCCGGTCCCTAGGCATCTTACTCCTAACTGCTAAAGGCAGAAACTTCCCATTTCCAGAAGAAGCATAGAGCCTGATTTTTAACGGTGTAAAAAGAAGCTGCAGTGTTACTATAAAAGAAAAAGGAAAAAAATGTGTCTCATCTAGAGGATTCCTATTTCCACTAGGTGGCGTTGTTAGCTTAGAAATACTATGTGCTTGCCAGAGACGCGGTAGCGAGTAACTTCACTGCAGAGGAATGGGGAAAACTGTTCCTAGAGGCATTTTCCTGATCTTGCCTAACAGGATTTCTTTCCTAGGCTGTAAAAATACCTGCACATTTAAATCAGAGAAAGAGTAAGACGCCACGGATAGAGAAGGAAGAAGAGTTTTGCAACAGAATAATTGAGGGTTCTCTGCCAACACCCGGAACAGGCTATTGGAGGCTGAGTCTGGTCCACTGGCCTGTGAATCATGCCAGGATGTCCCCTGGCCAGAAATTCTCAGTTACCTCAGAACTTTTCCCAGCCTTACTCAATGGCGAGGTCTCCCCGTGAAAAGAAACTAGTTCAAAACATGGCCAACATTCCCAGTACTCATGGGTAATGGGGGGGGGTTCTCCATGTTCTCACCAGCAAGCCTCACATCTGAGTCTGTAGTAGGGCAGCCAATGCTAAGTGTATGTACTAGGCTGATGCATGCCTGTTCCTAAGGAAATACAGATGCTTACTCATGACTTTTTAGATGAGTATATCTTTTTGGCTGCAGGCAGAGTAGGCTCTACATCTGAGAATATCACACAGAAAGTAGTTTGGGTTGATCTATTTGATTTTATTTTAATATAGAGGCCAAGAGCACCTTGTGAATGATGGAACAGATTTTAAGCTTGCTCTCATACTTACCGCTCCAACAAAGGCTGTACCTCAGTTTCCCGGCCAATGGATCAAAATGATATGGCTCCGATAACTGGAGGAACACCAGGGTCCTTAATCTTGTGTCAATTTAGATAAAATGACACAGACCCACGTGGAGTGGTTTTAAAGAGCGGAGAGTATAATAGGCAAGAAAGAAGGAAGGAAGAAGAAAACACCTCCCCCGTACAGAGACAGAAGGTAGGGGGATTGGAACAAAGAGAAAAACCCCAAGTGTGACAGAAAAGTGGCTGCTTATATGAGGAGGCTGGAGGAGGTGGTGTCTGATTTGGATAGGGCTCAGGGGATTGGTTTGACCAAGCATGTCATTAAAGTAGCAGGAGAAAAAAACTGGCCCTTCCACCCTAGCCTTTTAATATGCAAATACAGGGCACCAGGATGTTTTACACATGTGTGGATATGTGGGGGTGGCCGTGTCGCCAGGCACATGTGGAGGCCAGGGCAAGAATAAGACTGCAGGAATTGCCATGTTTGGGTGGGCCAAGTTTCTGATGGCTGGTATTTGCATATCAAAGCTTGCTGGCCTGGCTTTAAGAGCCAGGGCTTTCCTGCTAGATAAGAAACCATCTCACGAATTTCTGGAGTTGCTCTAAAAGAAACAAAAACTTCCCAAGGACCCCTTTTCCTATCTGCCTAAAATAATTTCTTAATAACTCTTTTTTTTTTCGAGACGGAGTCTTCTTCTGTCACCCAGGCTGGAGTGCAGTGGCACGATCTCGGCTCACTGCAACCTCTGCCTCCTGGGTTCACACGATTCTCCTCCTCAGACTCTTGAGTAACTGGGATTACAGGCACACACCACCACGCCGGACTAATTTTTTGTGTATTTTTAGTAGAGACGGGGTTTCACTATTTTGGCCAGACTGGTCTCGAACTCCTGACCTCGTGATCCGCCCACCTCGGCCTCCGAAAGTGCTGGGATTACAGGCGTGAGCCACCACGCCTGGCTCTTAGTAACTCTTATAACAAGAGTTATAATTTCCTACACATCCATCACTGTTGTAGAAGCCTCCATAGCCACCTCTACCACATCTGCTGCTGATGTCATGACCACCTCCACCACTGCAGCTGCTGCTTGTATGACTACTACTAAAGCCAGAACTGCTGGAACCACTACGTTGTCAATAGTCTCTGGCACCAAATGCTCCACTGAATCTTTTAGATCATGCACGAATACCACCCTTGTAGTGGTGTTTATCAGCTATGTTTTCCAATCAAGCAGGTACTTCTTGTTTAAATTCTACAAGAATATCCAGCAAATCCTTTGTAATATTCATATTTCTTTCATTAAAGAATGAGACGGCAAGGCCCTGGTTTCCCACACATCCTGTACAGCCAATACAAGGCACATATTCTTCAATATCACTTGGCAAATCAAAATTGAAGCATGTTTCACATTTGAAATGTCTAGTCTTCATGCTGCCACAGCTGTAGCCACTAGAATTGGACTTTTCCCCAAGGAAAACTGGTGAAGGGCCTCCGTCTTGATCTCTCTGTGATTGGTCTCCATGAATACTAGTACAAGGATATATTTCATGGTATAAGAAATTCTCCAGAGAATCTGCTCCCTTTTTTGTCTCCACAAACTCTAAAGTCAGTGAATCCTTCCCTGGTGCATTTAAGAGATCAAGCAGAAATGACCGTTTATCTGGCTCTTCCACCCAAACTACTTCCACCCAAACTACTTCAGAGGTAGAGCCTACTCTGCCTACAGCCAAAAATACATATTCATCCAAAAAGTCACGAGCAAGCATCGTATTTCCTTAGGAAAAGTGGCACTAAACATCATGATGTGATGAATGCCCTTTGGTGGCATAGTATCTTGTTCAAGTATACAATGTATCTGAGGTCCAGATCCCGTATCCAACATCCTATCAACTTCATCCAACACTAAGTATTTGCAGAAGTCTAATCCAATCTTTCCTCTTTCCATCAAATCCACTAGACGTCCTGGCATGGCTACTAACAAGTGGCATCCATGTTCCAAGACTTGAATTTGTTGACCAATATCAGCATCACCATAAACTACACAAGGATGAACTCTACACTGGTATGAAAATTTTCTGGCTTCCTCATATCTGTACAGCCAATTCTCTTGTTGGGGCTAAAACCCAGGAGATTGGGTATTGTTCATGGCACCCATACCTTCCATTTTCCTTCACAGCCTTCAAAGCTTTTCCTGGACCATCTATATATATCTGACTCAGTACGGGTAAAAGAAATGCTGCAGTTTTCCCAGACCCTGCTTGGGCACAAGCCATTAAGTCTCTTTTTCCCCTAATAATAGGAATGGCATGTTTTTGCAGTGGAGTAGGATGAGTATAGTGAGTAAGCTCTGTAAGGTCCTCTGAGCTGGCCGCACCGTGGTCAAGCCATTGTGACATTCCCCCACCCTTGTGATAATATGCTTTGTGATATTCCCCATCCTTGTGAAGGTAGTTTCTAACATTCCTCCCCACCCTTGTGACAATACATGCTCCCCGCCCTTGTGAATGTACTTTGTAACATTCCTCCCTGCCCTTGTGAATGTATTTGTAACATCCATCCCCTGCCTGCAAAAAATTGCTTCTGACTCTACCGCCTATCCCAAACTTATAAGAATAAATGATAATCCCACCACCCTTTGCTGACTCCTTTCTCGGACTCAGCCCACTTGCACCCAAGTGAATAAACAGCCTTGTTGCTCACACTAAGCCTACTCAGGTGGTCTCTTATACGGACACGCATAATATTTGGTGCCAAAGACCCGGGACAGGGGAACTCCTTCGAGAGACTGGTCCCCTGTCCTCATGCTCCCTCTGTGAGAAGATCCACGTATGACCTCGGGTCATCAGACCAGCCAGCCCAAGGACCATCTCACCAATTCCAAATCGGTAAGCAGTTCTTCACACTCGGGTGAGCGGTTTTTTCACTCTCTAACTAACCTCTCTCACCTCCCTTCAATCTCTTTCCTTTCAATTTCAGTTCCTCTCCCTTCCTGGTAGAGACAAAAAGGAGATACACTTTATCCGTGCATTCAAAAATTCCAATGTTGGTCATGGACTTGGGAAGACAGTCTTCCCTTGGTGTCTGATCACCATGGGGACACCTGCCTTGATCATTCACTCACATTCCCTTGGTGGCAGGTCAATTGTGGGGATGCCTGCTTTGGCTGCTCACCCACATTACAGCCCAGGACTCAGTCAGGGACGCCTACTGGAAGTCTGTAGCTGCCACCTCCATTTCTCCATGTCTCTACCTTCCTTTTTAAACTTACCTTTTCCACTATGGGTAACTTTCTGCCATCCATTCCTCCCTCTTCCCCCTTAGCCTGTGTTCTTAAAAACTTAAAACCCGTTTGACTAACACCTGACCTAAAACCTAAACATCTTATTTTTTCTGTAATACTACTTGGCCCCAGTACGAACTCAACAATAGTTCCAAGTGGCCAGAGAATGGCACTTTCGATTTGTCTATCCTATAAGACCTAGATAATTTTTGTCAAAAAATGGGCAAATGGTCCAAGGTGCCTTACGTCCAGGCATTTTTTTACACTTCATTCCCTCCCTAGTCTCTGCTCCCAATGCAACTTGTCCCAGATTTTCCTTCTTTCTCTCCCATCCGCTCCTCTGGTCTCCACCCCAAACTCAGAGTCCTCTGAATCCTCCTTTTCCACTGACCCCTCTTACCTCTCTTCTCCTCCCCTGGCCACTCCTCGCCAGGCTGAATCAGGTCCCAATTCTTCTATAGCCTCCACTCCCCTACCCTATAACCCTTCTATTACCTTCCCTCCTCACACCCGGTCAGGCTTACAGTTTCATTCCATGACTAGCTCTCCCCCACCTGCCCAACAATTTCCTCTTAGAGAGGTGGCTGGAGCTGAAGGCATAGTCAGGGTACATGTGCCTTTTTCTCTATCAGACCTTTCCCAAATCAGACAGCATTTAGGCTCTTTCTCATCAGACCCCAATAAATATATACAGGAATTCCAATATCTAACTCAGTCCTTCAATTTAACCTGGAGTGAGATAAATGTCATCCTGACCTCTACCCTCTACCCAGATAAATGAGAAAGAGTTTATTCTCTAGCCCAGTCCTATGCAGACACCTGCCAGCTTCATGAGCCAGGTCTCCAAGAGTGCACCAGGGCAGTTCCCCGAGAGGATCCCTGTTGGCAATACCACACAGACTCCCCAGGTATAGCTAGGTGAGATTACATGGTCTCCTGCCTAGTCTAGGGGCACAAAAAGGCAGCATACAAAGCTGTTAATTATGACAAGCTAAAGGAAACTACCCAAGGTAAAAATGAAAACCCAGCCCAGTTCATGGCCCGCTTAGCAGCTACCCTTAGATGCTTTACAGCCCTAGACCCAGAGGGTCCAGAAGGCCGCCTTATCCTTAATATGCATTTTATGACCCAATGCAATCCTGACATTAGAAAAAAGCTCCAAAAGTTGGATTCTGGCCCTCAAATCCCACAATAGGATTTAATCAACCTCACCTTCAAGGTGTTCAATAACAGAAAAGCAGCTGCAAAGTGGCAACGTATCTCTGAGTTATAGCTGCTTGCCTCCACTGTAAGACAACCCACAACCACTTCTCCAGCATACAAAACCTTCAGAACATCTAAGCCGCAGCTCCCTGGGGCTCCTACCACACTGAAACCCCTGTGTGGGCCCCCACTGGAAGTCAGACTGTCTGACTCACATCGCTGCCACTCTTAAAGCTCTTGGAGCTCAAACCCAGCGTTCCTTGCCTGACTCCTTCCCAGATCTCCTTGGCTTAGCGGCTGAAAATTGATGCTGCCTGATTGCCTTGGAAGCCCTTGGACTATCACGGACGCCGAGCTTTGGGTAACTCTTACAGTGGAGGGTAAGTCCATATCCTGTTTAATCGATACAGGGGCTACCCCCTCCACATTACCTTCTTTTCAAGGGCCTGTTTCCCTTGCCCCTGTAACTGTTGTGGGTATTGATGGCCAGGCTTCTAGACCCCTTAAAACTCCCCAACTCTGGTGCCAACTTGGACAACATTCTTTTATGCACTCTTTTTTAGTTATCCCCACCTGCCCAGTTCCCTTACTAGGCCAAGACATTTTAATTAAATTATCTGCTTCCCTGATTATTCCTGGATTACAACTACACCTCATTGCTGTCCTTTTACCTGATTCAAGGCCTCCTTTGAATTCTCCTCTCATGTCTCCCTACCTTAATCCACAAGTATGGGATACCTCTACTCCCTCCTTGGTGACTAATCAGGCACCCCTTACCATCCCATTAAAACCTAATCACTCTTACCCCGCTCAACACCAGTACCCCATCCCACAACAGGCTTTAAGAGGACTAAAGCCTGTTATCACTCACCTGTTACAGCATGGCTTTTTAAAGCCTACAAATTCTCCTTACAACTCCCTTATCCTACTAGTCCAGAAAGCGGACAAATCTTACAGCTTGGTTCAGGATCTTTGCCTTATTAACCAAATTGTCTTACCTATCCATCCTGTGGTGCCAAACCCATGTACTCTCCTATCCTCAATACCTCCCTTCACAACTCATTATTCCATCCTTGACCTCAAAGATACTTTCCTCACTATTTTTGCACCCCTCATCCCAACCTCTTTTTGCTTTCACATGGACTGACCCTGACACCCACCAGTCTCAGCAACTCACCTGGACTGTACTGACACAAGGCTTCAGAGACAGCCCCCATTACCTTAGTCAAACTCTTTCTCATGATCTACTTTCTTTCCATTCATCTGTTTCTCACCTTATTCAATATATGGACAACCTTCTCCTCTGCATCCCCTCTTATGAATCTTCCCAACAGGATACCCTCCTGCTCCTTCGACATATATTCTCAAAGCGGTATCATATATCCCCCTCTAAAGCCCAAATTTCTTCCCCATCCATTACCTATCTTGGCAGAGTCCTTCATCAAAACACACATGCTCTCCCTGCTAACTGTGTATGGCTAATCTCCAAAACCCCAACCACTTCTACAAAGCAACAACTCCTTTCCTTCCTAGGCATGGTTGGATACTTTCGCCTTTGGATACCAGGTTTTGCAATCCAACTAAACCACTATATAAACTCACAAAGGGAAACCTGACTGACCCCATAGACCCTAAGTCCTTTCCCCACTCTTCTTTTTGTTCCTTAAAGACAGCCCTAGAAACAGTCCCCACATTAGCACTCCCTAACTCGTCCCAATCCTTCTTCTTACATACAGCTGAAATACAAGGCTGTGCGGTCAAGAGTTTTTACACAGGAACCAGGCCCACGACCTGTAGCCTTCCTATCCAAACAACTTAACCTCACAGTTCTAGGCTGGCCCTCATGTCTACATGCGGCAGCAGCTGCCACTTCAATACTTCTAGAGGCCCTCAAGATCACAACCCATGCCCCACTTACTCTCTACAGTTCTCATAAGTTTCAACATCTATTTTCCTAATCACGCTTGGTGCATATACTTTCCGCCCCCTAACTCCTCCAACTGTACTAACTATTCACTGAAACTCCCACAAGGTCTGTGTCCTGGCACAAACTTCAACCCATCCTCTCACCTTATACCTAGCACCAAATCTGAACTTCATGACTGTATCTCTCTAATCCATATGGCATCCTCCCCATTTCCCCATATTTCCCTCTTTCCTGTTCCTAATCCAGACCACACTTGGTTTATGATGGTAGTTCTTCAAGGCCCAATCATCAGTCACCAGCAAGGGCAGGCTATGCTGTAGTGTCTTCCACATCTGTCATTGAAGCTACTGCCCTGCCCCTTTCCACTACCTCTCAACAAGCCGAACTCATTGCTTTAAACTGGGCCCTTACCCTTGCAAAGGGACTACGTGTCAATATCTACACTGATTCCAAGTATGCCTTCCACATCCTATATCACCATGCTGTTATACGGGCAGAAAGGTTTTCTCACTACACAAGGGTCCTCCATCATCAACGCACCTTAATAAAAATCGTCCTTAAGACTGCTCTACTGCCCAAGGAAGCTGAAGTCATTCACTGCAAAGGGCATCAGAGGTCACCAGATCCCATTGCTTGAGGCAACACTTATGCTGATAATACAGCAAAAGAAGCAGCTAGTATTCGCATATCTGTCCCTCACGGCCAGTTTTCTTCCTTCTCATCTATCACTCCCACCTATTCTCCCATTGAAACTCTTACCTATCAATCCCTTCCTACTCAAGGCAAGTGGTCCTTGGATCAAGGAAAATTCCTCCTTCCTGCCTCACAGGCTCATTCTATCTTATCATCCTTTCATAACCTCTTTCATGTGGGTTACAAGCCAATGGCCCATCTCTTAGAACCTCTCATTTCTTTTCCATCATGGAAATCCATCC